AAAGAAAAAGGGTAGCTGGTGGGATGTGGGTGGATGGGTTGGTTGCCCCTCGGTGCTACCACCAGGGACCACCGTGATGCGTAGGTCGGTCCGAGACGCCACCAGGATGGGGACGGTCCCCGGTTGGGGCGGTCCCCACCTTCAACCTGTGCGAGACAAGACCGGCTCTGCACCAAAAAAAACCCCAAAACCTCTCGGCGCAACCCTAAGGCTTCTCCTCGCTATGGATCTGCCGATGCCGGATGAGCTGGGAGCTGCAGGTGAAGCTTTTGGGGCAATCCAAGCAAATATAGGGTTTCTGCTCCAGGTGGGATCGCTGGTGAACCAGGAGGCTGGAGCGACGGTTGAAGCCCCTGCCGCAGTCGGGGCAGTGCAGATCCTTCTCACCGGCGTGTATCTGTCGGTGCTTGGTGAGCCTGGGATGGTTGGACAAGCTCTTCCCGCAAGTTGGGTAGGGATGCTTGTGTTTGACGGCGTGCGTCCGTTGGTGCTGCGCCAGCTGGGAGCCGTCACCGAAACGTCTCCCGCACTGGGAGCAATCGTAGGGTCGTTCTCCGGTGTGGGTCCTCCAGTGCCGTACCAGTTGGGAGCTGTCGCTGAACCGTCGCCCGCACTGGGAGCAATCGTAGGGTCGTTCTCCGGTGTGGGTCCTCCAGTGCCGTACCAGTTGGGAGCTGTCGCTGAACCGTCGCCCGCACTGGGAGCAATCGTAGGGTCGTTCGCCGGTGTGGGTCCTCCAGTGCCGTACCAGCTCCGAGCTGCTCTTGAAGCTCTTGTGGCACTGGGAACACTTGCAGGGTCTCTCGCTGGTGTGGGTCCGCCAGTGCCGCACCAACTCCGAGCTGATCTTGAAGCTTTTGTGGCATTCGGGGCACTTGTAGGGCCTCTCCCCCGAGTGCACGCGGTGATGGATGGTCAACGTGGATCTGTGCCTGAAGCTCTTCCCGCACTCCTCGCACCGGTAAGGTCGTTCGCCCGTGTGCGTCTTCTGATGGCGGATGAGGGTGGAACTGGCGCGGTAGCTCTTCCCGCAGTCGGGACACTTGCAGGGCTTGTCGCCGGTGTGGATGCGTCGGTGGGTGATCAGGTTGTAACGACGGTTGAAGCGGCGCCCGCAATCCGGGCAGCTGAAGGGTCGTTCGCCCGTGTGTATCCGATGGTGGTTCACCAAGGCCGAGCGGCGACGGAAGCTCTTCCCGCATTCCCGGCAGGTGTTGGGTGCTTCGTCGCTCCCATTGTCCCCCGGGAGCGGGGATCCCCCGGTTTCGGTCCGTGGGGACTGCTGCTGGCTGGAGGTTGGGGGTTCCACCGGCGCATCCGCTTGCTCAGGAGCATCCTGCTGCCGTTTCTCCTCCTCCTTGAGTAACTCCAGATCTGTCGGGGAGAGAGGACATCCCCAGCAGCTCTCTCCAGCTGGGAGAGGGTTAACGTGGAGCAGAGACGGGGAACCACGAGAGTTACGGCTCAGGGAAACAGTCAGCCAAGAGCCAGATGGTCCCAGCAGAGGATCAAGGCTCCAAGGCTGAAGCAACCTTGAGAAGGGTCGGGGTCATGGTGGGAGGAGGGATGGGGACGTGGTGGGA